ATGAGGAGTAGCAGAGACTTGCTCCATGGAGAACAGACGTGGTGTCAGTATTTTGAAAAGCAATACATGAGCCTTGATGCTCAGAATGGTTTCCTGCCAGCCGTGTGGTGCTGTGGTTTCCAATCCACATTCAGCCGATCATGCAATCATTGGTCCGAACATGTTGGGATATCAATCGGTCTTATCTCCAGTAAATTCCCACTGTGTCCCTATCATCCTTGCCTATATATATATATATGTTCAGCCCCCCACCAAGACCTACTTTAAGCATTTTTGTATGTATATATATATATGTATGTGTGTGTGTACATGCACTATCAATCTATTTGTCTATCTATTTGTTTGTCTATCTGTCTGTCTATCGATCTATCGATCGATATATCTACCGATCGATATATCTACCGATCGATCTATCTCACCATCTATCTATCTATCCATCCATTCTACCTATTTTCCCATGATATTCCATTGAATCTCCATGATGGGTCCGTCAAATCTCCGTTATATTTTCAACATATTACAGTATTCATATGTTTCTTCACGGTCACTATTCTTCTTCTGTAAAGGCCATGTTGAATCCCAAAATTGAACTAAATGGGCCATGCAAAAAATACCATGGCACACTCAACTAGTTTACTGGATGCTATCATTTCTGTGGCTATGCATGTTTCATTGATAAATTTGATGGTAAAGCCCATGGATGGTTTTATTTTTACCAAAACTGCCTGATGGCTACCTAAATTGCAAAAAAAAACATCATGCATCGTGGGTATACAGTATATATACACACCATGTTTCATGGGTAAATCCAGCATCAATCCATGGGTAAATCCCCCCAACGACCCCCCGAAGACAACCACATACCCCCTTCCTATATGTGTACATAAAAAAGGTGATGCTGAGTAGTCATTCTAATAAAGTCATTACCTCTGGTGTTTAGCATCTATATAGATAAATCATTGTAGCATATATATGGGTAGTATTGATATCTAAACTTTGCGATGAAATCCACTAGTATGTTCTCAGTATCTATCTATCTATCTATCTATCTATCTACCTACCTATCTACCTATATCTATCTATCGATCTATCTACCTATCTATTTATCTATCTACCTATATCTATCTATCGATCTATCTACCTATCTATTTATCTATCTACCTATCTATCTATCTATCTATCTATCTATCTAATCTATCTATCTATCTAATCTATCTATCTATCTATCTATCTATCTACCTATCTATCTATCTATCTATCTGAATATATCTATCTATCTCTATCTATCTATCTATCTATCTATCTAATCTATCTATCTATCTATCTATCTATCTACCTACCTATCTATCTATATCTATCTTTCTTTCTATCTATCTACCTTTCTATTTCTATCTATATCTATCTATCTATCTATCTATCTATATCTATCTTTCTATCTATCTATCTATCTACCTATCTATCTATCTATCTATCTATCTATCTATCTAGCTATCTATCTATATCATTCTTTCTATCTATCTATCTTTCTTTCTACCTATCTACCTATATCTATCTATCGATCTATCTACCTATCTATTTATCTATCTACCTATATCTATCTATCGATCTATCTACCTATCTATTTATCTATCTACCTATCTATCTATCTATCTATCTATCTATCTAATCTATCTATCTATCTAATCTATCTATCTATCTATCTATCTATCTACCTATCTATCTATCTATCTATCTGAATATATCTATCTATCTCTATCTATCTATCTATCTATCTATCTAATCTATCTATCTATCTATCTATCTATCTATCTATCTATCTATCTTATCTATCGATCGATCTATCTATCTATCTATCTATCTATCTAATCTATCTATCTATCTATCTATCTATCTATCTACATACATATATATATATATATACATATATATATATAGTCAGTCTGATTCTGGCTGAAATCCACCATTTCCACCAGGTGGCCGAAGGCAAGGAGGACGGCTCCGTGACGCGCACACGCTCCGGCTCGATGAGGTGCCGTTGCTTGTGAATTCCAGGGATTTCTATGGTGATTGTTTGATACCCTCTGGTAAACTAACAGTTTGCTATTGAAAATTGCCATTTATAGTGGATTTCTCCATTAAAAATTGTGATTTTCCAAAGTTATGTAACAGTTTACCAGAGGGTATTTTTTATGGATATATGGTGACATTGTTTATGGATGGCGAAATATGATGAAATTTCGAGATTCGATGGGATCTAAGGGATATGTTTTTGCTGAGATATGCATTTCTATGGTGATAGAATTGATGATAGAGGCCGATTTCATGGTGAAACAGTGAACCTGATATTGGAGATGTAAGATTTTAAGGAAATTCCACCGCGAAATGCCGAAGAAATTTCATCGCTGGAAGGGCTCCTCTCCTCCAACCTTGAACGCTGCCCGGCCCTGGGCTTTAGCGACCATGAGATCACCGTAAATGATGGTAGCACAAATGGTACAAATCATGTAAACAAATTTTGCATTTATGAATTCTAGGCAAACATTGGAAATGGGAGGTGATTCTATGGATCACTGGGAAAACTCACCATGTTTCTTTATCACTACCTGGGATCTACATCCGGATGCATCTTGCTAGATGTTCCGTGTGGGGATGGTACCCTGGCAGTAGGATCAAAAGTTGGCACATCTCTTTCAAGATCGAAAAGTTCATTCCGTGCATCCAAGTCCCAATTCCTTTCTCAATTGTTCGATTGTTCATTGTCTGACTGATAGAAAGAGTGTATTCTACCTAGCTGAAACTTGGTTTATTGCATCGTGCCTATATGATTGGCAATGATATCGGGAGATAGTTTTCTGCACATAACTTGTACTAACCAGGTGAGGTGTCCTTGATTGTACGGGGTTGTGTTCCCAGTGCTGCTGGTGATTCTGTATTTTTTGGTTATGTACTGCGACTGCTGGTTCTAGTGTCTTGTGTTCTTTAGTGGATATTCGTGTTTTTGTCAATGTCTTTGAATAGCCCATGCTGAACAATCCGGTGATCTCCAGGCCAGGTGAGGATCTCCAACCTATCCCAAAGATCTTATGATTTCCTCAGGAAATATCCATAAAATGCCATGAAAATATGTGCTTTTCAAGAGATCTTTTATAATTACCCTCTGGTTATGACTAACATAGCCATGGAAAATCACCATTTTTAATAGGTAAACCATCTATAGATGGGCCATCTATACCATGGCTATGTTGAATAAGCAGGGGGTACTCATATCTGGGGAGGAAAATCCATTGGAATCGATCTACCAAAGCAGCATGATCCGTCGCTCGCCGCAGGATGCGTCGATCGAATTCCTCTCGTCCACGCTTCACGGATTCCCTGGTAGTGCCCTTCTCTGGAAAGGCGGGAAGTTCATGGGGAGACGATGGGCATATTGGGATGTGGAAATATTCTGGAAATATGGTTTTTGTTTAATAGCGATATACTGGAGATAGAATGGGAAAAATGAATAAAATAAGAGGATCATACATATGTGTATATATAATACATATATATATATATCTTCAGCGCTAGCAACACACCGGATTTGATCATAGACTTTGCCAACAGAAAATAGGATTGAATCCATATCAATCGGGATATAAGATTATATTTCTGCAGCTTGGGAAGTGCGATCCAACCACTTATTGCTCGCGTTATTGGCTTCAAGTATTTTTGGAGAATCTAATGAAGGTAACAGGAGTCTGAAGAGTGTCCAGGCTAATATTCTTGCCATTATCGATTAATGTGTTAAACCCAATGCCAGGAACCTACCATTTGGGAATGGTTTATACAACTCATCGTGATTTTGGGGGATGGTTTATTATGGTTTAGATCTTTGTCACAGTAGTCTTTCAAGGCAATAACCCACGCCATTGAAGCCTAGTCCTAAGATGATGATCCTCACTGCAGACACTTCCGACATGAAGCTGCTAGCATTTCAAATCCCACATGGCCTAACAAAAAAAATGCCCAAAATGATTTGGGGATTGATTTTTTTCCCATAGAAATAGATGGTTTACCTATGAAACAATGGCGATTTTCCTCAGGAGGCTCTTCAGGACCGTTTCGTGGTGGATCCTTGGCGAAGTGATGCGACCCGAAACGTTGTGATTTTATGGTATGACCAAAACAAAAAGCATGGGGCATACCCGGTATACCCCACAAAAAATGTGGGCGATAGAATAGAATGGGGAACCATGACTTGTGATTCACTCGATTTTAGGGATTGGCCTATTTTTCTTACGCAAATCCAGTGCTGGTTCCAGTGCTGGGAAGTCTTTGCTGTTGCTGGATTTTTTCGACCTGGTGAATTCTCATACCTCACTGAATAATTACTGTAAATGATGGTCATGAAATGGAGGAAGCATCCTAAAATGATCAAAAATTTCAGATTAGTGAATTACTATATATCTCATGTTAGTTTCTCCAGATCAATCCCTGAAACGAAGCTTGCTTGTTTGATCCGCGGAGCATAACGCTTACGTAGCGAATCTATTCAAAAAGGCTGTCATCATAGGAATAATTAGGTCCAGTTGGATCTATTCTCTAATCGATGGATTCCAACCAGGGATTGAATTCTGACTAAAGCTTGGTGGTTGCTCTATGTTTCTCTGTGGATTGCCATTTCACAACCCAATCATCCATTCATCATGATGTGTTGCGCTTGGAATTTTCCCCGTGAACCAGCCAGTTATTGGGTGATTTCCCGTGCAACTTCATAATATGTTAATAATATGGGTGTGTCTGAAGATGGAGCATACGCATCAGATGACGTCTGTTTGTCGAAAATTTATGATTAACCATCAAAAGAGGTATTGTTCATGATTTTCCCCACAAATTTTCACCCATCTCAAAAATGAAAAAAATAACACTTGAAGTGACTTGAAGTGACGTGAAGATCAAGATTCCAACTTTGCCATAACAACCTGTGGAGACCCCGGGGTGTCCCTGGTGTCCCTGGTGTCCCGTCCAAGGAATGGCAAACCTGTTTGCACGTGGGCACGATGAACGGCCTCCAGTAGCCCGGTTTTTCAAATGATGGCGGCCTGGTACCTGAAAAATGCTGGGAATATCCATGGAAATATGGTTGGAATATCATTGGATTTGGCCAAAAATCATGTGAATATCATGGAGATGTAGTGGAAATATCCATAGTTTAACTAGGGGAATATCATGGTTTAATCATGGGATTTTAAAAAAAAAATGTTTTTGTTGGGGGGCTGCTGTTGTATTGAAATCCTGCGAATGTCATTGTCAACCCCTGGGGGATACTATTTTAGCGAACCAATAATTGGGGTATGGAAAGAGCAATGGTTCACAATAAATAGTATTAAATGGGGTGATTGGTTCACTAAAATAGTATCAATTGGTTCACTAAAATAGTATACCCATTTCGTACTCCGATCAAAAATTGTCTTTCGTTTGCTGTCAGCTTGAATGGAGCTGGGATCCTGCCGTCCAGGATTTCCTCTGCGCTTTGGCACTTAGGCCTAAAGCCACCTTGCAGAGCTTCGCAAAGACCTCAAGCCCTTTTTGTGGCATACGCCCGGCAGCGGCACTTGAATGAAGAGTGCCAAACTTGGACGGCGAAAAGTGCTAAAAGCATCAACCTGTCAGTGGTTCGCATGGCGAAGTTCAGTGGTTTCCAAAGGCCTTGGGATCCCTAAAGATGTTGCAAAATGAAGGTGTGGACGGCTGAAACTTGGCTTAGCCTGGGCTTCCAGAGTTTGGAACCTGGGTTTCCAGTGCATGTTGACTTGCAAGGCATGTTGGTGCAGTGTCCAGCCTCGGAAACTGATGGTGACATTGGAGATCTTGCGATGGAGCTTTAGCACTTTAGCTAAAATGAAAATAGGTCCCCCGATAGGGCGAAGAAATAGTGAACTCATTGGCTCTGAACATGAGATATACCCCCAAATGGCATCAAATGAGACTAAGCCTTTGATCAGAATAATTCATTGAAATATACTGGGAGATACAACAATATGATAATCTGATATGGCTGTGTATGATTTTTTAAATAGGGAAACTGATGATTGATGGTGGGGTTTGTCATCCTTAAAAAAACGGACTTTGTTATGTTAGTGATGTTTTCTTTGACTTTACCAGAACCATAAAATGCAGATATAACATATGATATGAAAACATGATATTGGGTATATGAGTAGATGATATGATATATCTGTTATAACATTAGATATGATATGATAGTATCTATTTTTATACTATTATATAACATGATAGTGGGGATATACTAGTATATGATATGATAGATGGGCATGCATGGGCATGTAAAAAGGTGTCACCAGTGTGTGTGTGTGTGTTTTAAAATCTTGGGTGTATATACCCTCAAATCCACTAGTTAATCAGTTGGTATGCCCCATGATTATTTGATGACCATAAATCCGGGGATACAGTATTTTCAAACAGGCCGATTTGGTAAGTTTATCACTAGATTTAAAGCCCGGTTATTTCAGTGTGCCAAGCCTACTTTCCCAACTTGCAATCAGGCATACCGTCCACTTGGCAAGTAGGATGAACCACATTGTTAGAGCAACATAACTTGAGACTGAACCCACAAAAATGCGGAATTTGGAAAAATTGCGGGTTGTTTGCAGGAAAAGCAGACTTGGTTGCGTAGTTAAAAAATGTGATTCTCTCCTGTAAATGGGGATGCATGCTACCCAGCTAAAGATTATATTCTGTGCAGGGTATCGAATCTAAGAGTTGCACCCATCTACCAGATAAACTGGTAGCTTCATGGTCAATGGTTCTGTCTTAACCACCCAAGAACCGTTGTTGCATGATCTCAACTAGATGATGAAAATGGTAAGACATCCCCATCAAGTGACACGTGTCACCATGTGTGGATCATGTCCAAACGATAAACAGATGGATTTCCTACTTGGAAGTGTGGTTCCAGTGACAAGTGGACATTTTTCATAGTTATAGGGCTTACCCTCTGGTAAACAAACAAAAAGCTATTGAAAATGGCCTATTTATAGTGGATTTACCCAGCTATAAAATGGTGGATCTTTCCATAGTTTTTTGTAACAGTTTACCAGAGAGTATACCCCAACCAAAATGGGCTTTGTTTCACCATGTCAAAAAAAAACCTCGCCCGAGATTTTCGACCTTGGAGGTCTGGCGAGACCATGACCATCAGCCGCTTCTTCAAAGGCTTGGGAGTTCACCCAAAATGGGAGCGACTGTAGGTCCCACCAGAAAAAGCCTCTGGTTACCCTCTGGTTATGACTAACGGTTTGCCATGGAAAATGGCACATTTATAGATGGTTTACCGAACTTGAAAATGGTGGATCTTTCCATGGCTACGTTAAACAACCAGATGGTATGTCAAAATAGCTATGGAAGCCATGACCCATAGAAATAGATGATTTACCGTTCTTAAGAATGGTGATGTTCCATAGTTATGTTCGTTTACTGGAGGGTATCAAAGAATATCATGGTAAAATGGGGATCTAGTGGGGATTTAAGAGGGGATATTATGGGTTAAGCAGGCTTGCGCCAAGCTATTGTCGGTAAATGATTGCCACAAGTGAAGGAAAGATTGTATTTTACACCTGTATTTGAAAATTTACCCCCTTGTGTTTGGGGTGTCGGGAGGTTTTCCAGTCGTGTGGTTGCTTAAACCTATGTGTTTCTCCCAAGCCACCCTGATGGGAGGCCGGGAGGCCAAAAACCACGAATCGAAACTGGAGATGACGCCTAGAAAGTCCCTTAATAAGTAAGATTACCTGGTGTCATCGAATATGGGAAATCCTCTATAAATGGAGGTTTAGATCGAAAATCTTCTATAAATGGGGCATTGTCCATTGCCATGTTTGATTACCACAGGTTATCCAATTTATAATTGGATCATAGCTATGATTGCCAACTAATTACTAAGTGGGAGAATCCTCCATGTACTTGTACAGAAATATGTTTGTACTGTATATTCGAAGACTTGATGTTCAACGTCTATTGCATCTATTGCGCTTCAATATGAGAATAGGTCAATACCTACCTTTAAAATACCATCTGGGGGTTGAACAAACATCCACTTACGAGCTGATCTGACATAAAAACCAGGGTACTCATCGGTTTTTGATTTACAGCCATACTGTAAATTCTGGCTAGATGGCCCTTTTTGTTGGTAACCTCCAATGGTTTATTCATTGAATTGTCATATTTCTTGTTTTAATCACCATCCTGGTTGCGTAGAGATCCCCATCGAATTGGCTAGATGTCCCATCGTTTCTCACTTCAGATCCCCACTTCTTTCCATGCTTCAGAACACCAAAAAGTGCATAATCATGTCCTGGTTGCTGGTTGGTGCTTTGGAACAGGAATTTTATGACTTTCCCATCATATTGGGAATGTCATCATCCCAACTGGCTAATATTTTTCAGAGGAGTAGGTCAACCACCAGCCAGGTTGTTTTTTTGCGGCAATATGATTATAGTCATCATAGTTTACAAAGCCCATGAACATCCATGAACCATAGACATATCTACAATCACCATAGTTGGCCTATCAGCCAGCCAACTTAGCTATCGAATTGGGCACCACCATCCCGAACCCCGGGAGCCGTCCAGGCAAGTCCAAGAGTAACTCGGGACAGCGGATCATCAAAGCTGTGCGCAAGTCGCAGGCGAGGGGTGGAGATCTGAACGCATTGGATGCTACATTTAAATATGTGTGTAAAAATATCATATAGATGTGTCTGTGGATAGGTATATTTTATGTGTATATATATACATATAAATATAGTATGACCATTTCTCTCTCTATATGTATGTAATATATATAAATGTACAAAATGTTTTATGTATAAAGTATGATCTACCCATATGATTGGCGCACTCCAACTGAAGATCGGGTGTTTCGGGGTTTACTGATCCCCTGGTGGGGGTCAACTCATCCACAAGGGGTGAACCATCCATCATATGAACTACCCCCCTGGTAAACAAACAAAAAGCTATGGAAAATGGCCTATTTATAGGTTTTTTTACCCATGAAAAATGGTGATGTTCCATAGTTATGTAACAGTTTACCTGAGGGTAAAGGTACAGTAGCCAGTGTACACTTTGCATGATGTTTCTTCCCACCATCCTGCTTGTTGTGCTGAAATTGCCAAACTGGTCAAATATATGATTCTCACCAGTAGAACCAATGGTTTTTGGACACTCCAAATCGAGTCACTTCTTCCCAACTATTGAAGTCCATCAAACCGCAATCCGATTACTAGTCCTTTCTTCCCTAGTAACATCATATATCTGGAAAATGCCCAGCTATATATGGATTATATATGCGTTATATATGGATTATATAAGGATTGTATATATCATCTGGAATATATATATATATAAATATAAATATATATATAATATATATAATATATATAATATATATATATTATATATATATATGTATATTCATTGTAACTATCTGGTTTGCCGTTACAAATATGTCATTCCAGCCCCAAGTCGTCAAGTCGTCAAGTCGTAGCGGGAAAATCATCGAACATTTCCGTCGGAGAAGTAGAACCACCATGCAGTCGGAGAAAACCCGTCGGAGAAAACCCCCCACCGAGTCTCGCTTGAGATCTTCAATGGCAAAAGAAAAACCCTCTGGTTATGACTAACATAGCCATGGTATAGATCCCAACCATAAATGGAGGTTGATGTCGCTGGGAAAATCATCTATTTCTATGGGCCATCTTTCATGGCTATGTTAAATAACCAGAGGGTAACAGAAATGGTGGTTTCGCGTTTTTTCTATCTTTGGGGTGTTTAGCATGATCATTGTTTTTACCATTGCTATAACTACCACAATTGTATCCCATTATGAAAGCGTTAGCGTTAGCCTTACCATGTCACTTTTCTTTATTGCCATTATTCAATTGCCAAAATTACTGGCATCATGTCTATAAGATGATTACCGTTACCACCACAAAATATTACCATCGCAGCCGTTGTAATATGGATGATTACGTTAGTTTCAAGTAAAATACCTTTAAAAAACACTAAGTGTCGCCATGATGACTTCACTAATCAACAATAACCAGGAGAGTTGTTATGATGATAATGACTTACCATTACCGTTACTATTCCCACTGTTAATCATATTTATAATTATGTCTTATTACTACACATATTACAATTGTGTTTTTTTACTATATTATTAACTTGAATTAACAACTATTAGCTAACTAGAATTATTATGTAATTAATAAGTATGACTTGCCTTGAAGTCTCACCCAGCCAAATGGCGCAACACACGGGGGATGTAGCATTGGACAATTTCTCTGAACTTGTGGACATGAATCTTGGCCTAGATATCAAGATGAAGGATCAACGTGACTCTGTCTAAACCTCAGTGAAGATGTTTCGCAGAGACGAACTAGGTCAAGATGTGATCAACCAGTGCCAATATCAGTGAACCCAGAAAGTGTGCTTGTAAGGATACCAGTTATGTTGTTAAACCAGTTATGGCAAACACAATATGTCACTTTGAAGCCAGCAACAAGATAGGCAGTGCCAGCCTGTCTGCGAGGCTTGTTGATCCAAGCTGACCATAGCTGATTAGTGTTCATTATTACCAGTATGATTGTTTCGTTATTTTACTGGTAATAATGAACACTAATCATAGTTAACTGAAATAACTAAACAATACTTTAATTATTCTCAAGTTTAGTTAACAATAATTATAGCTAACTAGAATGATTCCAGGATTCCTTTCAACAATTCGCCATAATTCATGCCACCTTCCCAAAGTTTGGCGACGCAGGTTCCCTTCTTCCGGCTCCTGGAACAACACATCGGAGATCAGCGCTCCTTCGATCATCCGCACGTCTGTGCCTGTGGCGACATATGGATCATCCCATTGCCCCAGTATTCAACACCCATTGTATGGTCCCAATGGAATGTGGAAATTCCCTACATCCACCATGGTTTCGAACTAAGGGGCTGTTTAATATGAACGGGGGATGGGATTATAAGTGGGTTATAGCATGTTATATGGCTCGTAACTGGTAAAAATAACCCTGCTGAGTCCTGGATTGGTGGCTTATTCAATTTATCAATGGGAATTTCAGGATCCTAAAATGGAGGTGCTGTACCATACAAGGGCATATTTTCTAGGGATATCCCCTTACATAGGCCTGAAAAATAGGCCTTATATATGGTAGGTACCTCCAATAAATCGGTTCCTGTTGCATGGCCATTGAATTTAGTTTTGGATGCTAACCACTCACGATTCCTGGGATGATGTTCCAAGAACCACGATGTCCATGTGATGATATAGTGAACTTACCTTTCGGTAATCAAACGTGGCAAGTGGAAATGCCCATCTAAGCCTGGCTAAGCAATATACCCTCTGGTCATCAAACATGGCAATGGACAATCCCCGTAACAATTGAGATATTTATAGGGAAATAATCTATAAATGGTGGATTTTGATCGATGTCCCATTGCCATGTTTGATTAGCGGACAGTATACTTCTGGATGAAAAAAATAACCTGAGTCATGGTGGATGTCGGGGTAGCTATCCCAAAATCGCCTCAGGTGATGCTGTATGAATTATTCATGGAATATCCCCTATGGGGATGGGTTTAACGTTTTGTTTGTTATCTAGATGAGTGATGTTGTGACCCCACGTGACGTCACTCAAATGATGGAAATATATGGAAATTGGATTCGGGAAATCCCCGAATGGCCCAAGGGTTCAGCAGGTTAGTGAATTGATTCTAATTCAGCCAGAATGCTATGAAATACACCAGTTTTACATATCCCCAGTTGTGGGTGATATATGGGTTTAGTCATTTTTAGGGATTTTGCGGGAATGCCCCTTCCGCAGTCTATCCAGTTCGATGAAAAAGGGCAAGGTTTCAAGCTCGTCGCGATGATTGTTGATCACCAACCGATGACAGTCCCCTAAGGAGTAAAAGAGAAGATAGTTGTTGCATGTTGTTGCCCAAGTGTAAGTGTGTGTGTGTATGAGTGTCTGGCGTAGTAGATTTCTGCTCAAACGCATGTTCTTTCTTTGGGGGAAAATTCATGCCTATGTGCTGGTCAGTAAGCATAAAATATTGGTCGTGAATGTTCTTGCTGTTGGTTTAAACCATGTGAAAAGCCCCCAGATTTTGCGGTGAGTTCATGTGAGATCGACATTTCTCATCCAATTTCTGTCGGTAAAAATCGCAAAGTTGTCGCTCTCAAAGGTGATGTTCTCTTCAAGATTCGGCCCTTTTCTGAGGTCGACTGATCGACGCCTTTGAAGACGAAGAACATGTTTACCAAGTCTTTGAGCCACTTGACGATTTCGGTGAAAGATGTAGCACCAGCAGACCCACAAAATTCTGTGGGTTGCTGGTAGATGTTTCAGCATCCTCAAAATGGGGGCCGATGAATTCTGAACCCATAGCCATCATAGCACCATACATCTCCGTTTCCCTTTGTGGGGATAAACATCCATCTACCAGCTAGTTTTGATGTTCACCAGGATATCAAATTCTGCAGCCACTGGACCACATGACCACTTGACGACCTGGATAAACCGTGGTTCATGGGAAGCCCAGTTGGGTGGTGATTGATGGGATGTTGAGCACTGAAAACACATACATTTTTTTAGCATCAAAAAGATCATTCGAAACAATAATAGACTCGCTCCAGCTTTTTGGCAATGATCGCCACATACCGAAGGCTAAATTGATGAAATTTGAGAGGGAGGACTTGGTGACACGGTGCCCCACAGACTGGGTCATCAAAAGCATCCCAAGGTGGTGAACGCACCTTACAATTCAATGAAAGTGAACGCACCAAAAAACTGGCGAATGGACATTCAATGGTTGATAGCCATTAGAAGAACCAGTCTAGGTATTTCAGTTTTGCATCCCGTGAAACACACAACGATCCACTTGAAGAGCAACCATATTCTATAGTTGTTGGTTGCATCGGTTCCATTCGCTGATGTTGCCCTGCGGTTGTTGGTTTGCGGTCCACATGTTGATCCGGTTCGTGGCGTTCAAAAGAACAATTTTCGAGCCTAAGCATTGTTTTTCCCAACCAGTCATGCATTGAAATATGTTTGGCCCTTTTTTGTAATTATTTTTCTCTGAAGAAATCGAATTTCACGCAGTTTCATGTTGATTCTCATTGTTGAAATCCACATTTATCTCATTGAAAGTTCCGTATGATTCCTTCCAAATTCCAAAAAAAAAAAAGCATCTGGATTCTCCATTCTCGGGATGAACCTGCTTGGACGTGCAACGCTTCAACCGGCCAGCAGGACGGATATATCAAAAAGCATGCAAATGAGTGATTTCTGGTGAATCTTGGATGGTTTTTCGTGTTTAGATATATTAGATATATTTAGCAGAATACAAGCCCAGCTAGTCCTTATAATCTTTGTTGATGGCTAAAGCTGTTGTAATTCCTTTTAAATGACTGTTGAATACTTCTGCGAATGTTCATCAGCTCGATTATATCCACACTATGTCCCAGGTAAATTCCCCATTTATGGTGCGTGATAATCATCAGTATTTCTGGTTATCATCATGTCCCGAGTTAAACTGTCTAATCCATTCTAATCCTCTATAATCAAATATTAAGTGATTCTTGCATTCCAGTTTCAGGATTGATCAAAATCAAACCAACTTAAATCCATGTTTTTTCTTCCTAAATCCTCCTGTTTGCTGCTGAAATCTCCCTTTGTTAGCATTCCCCATGGTTTTTCCCGTTGTATATCCCATTAATTCCAAAATATCCCATTAATATCCCAATCCTCATATTCCTAATTTTTATATCCCAACAATATCCCAATAATTTCCATTAAAAACCCATTAATCTCCCATTTTCATATCCCAATTCTCATGTGGACTTTCCTTCTTTTTGGGGACCAGGTTCCTCTCGGGTCCCTCCTTGCTGGAGAAGATCCTTTCAGACACACAGTTCTCGGAGCGCGACGCGGCGGCTGCGCCTTGGCACCGATCTACCGCGGAGTGGTGCTGAACTCGCAGAAATGGGGATTTCACTGACTTAACCGTCCTTTACAGGGGTTATCATAGAAATTTAACTTATATTGGGAATATAGGTGATAAATATAGGGAATATTATAGAAATTCAACTTATAACAATCAAATATAGGATAGAATTGAGAAATGATGATGAGTTCTGGAATTGAGTGAGATTTTACAGTATTTTTGGGGGGTTTTAACATCAACATATATTGGGAATACAGGTGATAAAAGAATGTTTTTTTGATGGTTGATGATTGTGATTTCATGGGGAACAAAATCCATCAGTTCGGGATCTTCTGGTGGGGTATTAACGACCAAACATTGGAGCTTTTTGGCACGCTCCATTTCCGCCAGGCCACCAAAGCCATACTGCTGGCGATTGGTTACCTACACGGACCCTTGGCGGCTTGGGGTTGGGAAATGTGCGATGAGGATCAATACTCGAGATCTGTATAGATCTGTTAGGTGCTGGTTATTTGTTACATAGCCATGGTATTGATGGACAATAGAAATAGATGGTCTACCTATTAAAAATGGTGATTTTCCATGGCTATGTTAAATAACCAGATGTTCGGTGCTGGTGGATTTCGGAATTTTAGCACGAACATTCGGAGCATCGAAACCACCTTGCGGACAATCTCTGTTCAGACATCACCAATCCATGGCTTTTTATTTGACGGTGACACGGTGATGTTTGAAACGAATCGACGGGACATTTACTTTCACTTGCTTCACATGCAGTTGGCCTGTTTCAACCTGGGGTATTTGTTTGGACCCACAAGAATAAACAGGTCATTTCTATTCATTTCTAGGATCTGAAACCAGAAACCGTTTGAGGTTTGTCAAGAATGCAAAGCCAAACATCATTCTTGTCGACTTGGCCTGGTTTATATCCGTGAGACCGTGGTGAAGTTGAGATGGTGTTCATGCGTTCATGTGTTCCAATATCCATCATGGTTCATGAATCAACCAGGGTCCCTCAATCCCAGATTTGCCGGAAAAAATGGAGGAAACTCCAACCAATTAAGTTGCAAGACCCATTGGTTCTTGTATTTTTCCCAGACAAACCAACCCATGAGCATAAACACAACAATGATTCGTAGCCATATTGATGTTCATTACTCATAGCCCTATTGTCCACGGTTCAACGATCAACAATTTTCCTTCTGTTAAAACTGTACCCTAGTCCTCGAAATACCTTTTGAGAAGTGTTTAAATCCCCAAACCACCCCCAAATACAGTCACACATGTTGTTTGAAACAAATTCATTGGATTGGCTGCAAGGAAATTTGAAACCACAAGCCTCTATATTTGATGGTAAAACCCATGGTTTCGTGTAGATATTCTCTTAAACCCATCTATTGATGATGATATAACGAACAAAAACTCTGATGGCAAATAGTGACAATTTGGATATATGGAGGTTACCTGAAATAGGGGTAACCCCCAAATCATCCATTTAAATAGGATGTTCTATTATAAACCATCCATTTTGGGGTCTCCCCATTAAGGAAACCCCCATACAACGAAACCATCATCCAATGGCAAATATGTTCTCTTCGACTCCATGTCCGCCAGCTGACCGGGTGACTGGTCAAAGGTCTGTCGATTGCGCATCAGCGACCGGGCTGGATGTCGAGGGGTGGTTCGGGTTTGTTCGCCTCTGAAAATGAAGTCATTTGAATGGATATCATGGGGATTTAACAATGTCATAAACCACCCATGACTGGGAATGGGAAGTTTCTACCACCTATAAAAATGGTGATTGTCCATAGTTATGTTAGTTCCCAACACCAAGCCCGGGCCACTGGTAACGAAACCCTTGATTTTGCCTTTTTATATGAGATTTTGGGGGGGCATGTTAACATTCCTATCAACTTGCTCACGTCATCTATGCTTCGTGAACATCAGGGTTGGGTTGGGGGGGCATGTTACCGTTCGTATACATATATACGTATCTACATAGATACATATATACATATATACATGTAGAAATTTATACATATATACATATAGACATATATACATATATACATATATACATATATACATATATACATACATATATCATATATATATATATGCATATAGATATATTTACAATATATACATAGATACATATAAACAAATATACAAATATATTTACAGGTATCTACATATATATATATATACATATACATGTTTAGACATGTTAGATTAACTTTTCGGTGCATGCAATGGCTGTGGCGTCATTCTTAAACTGAAAAGAAGTCATTGGCACCTCTCCAGTTGTTGAAACACTTGGCCAAAGCGTGCACACTCGCGAGTGAAAAAAATGCGCTTTGTGCCCAGTTGCTTACCAGAGTGTACTTGCTGGTTGGTTGGAATTTCATGGGAATATCTACTCACCAGCTACTCTCCGGCAAACGGGGTTGCTGCGGCTACCACTTTACATCACTATGGCTATCAATAGGCTGTTTTACCACCATTCTGCGTGGAGTACAAGCTATTTGTGATATACATACAGGTATTAGAAGTATATGGGGTCTGTGTTTGGGGTATGTATGCAGATATGTTAGGTCGGAAGGAATTCGACATTTTATCGACCAGTCAGCTCCCCGAAAGTGACATGTTTGAACCGAAAACTCCTGTGGAGCTTGTGGGAGCCCGGTCGGATTCCGCGAAAATGCCATGGCATTTTTGAAAAAGGAATCCTTTTGAAATTCATCCCAAAAAGGGGCATGGGGGCATGGTAAAATTTTGTGGAAGTGGGTGCTGTGGGTGGACAGGAGACACCCTATAGCTATTGGAAAAATCCTTTGTCTTTGTTGCTCACGGAATATGGGCAAAATTACTTGAAACGGTGCTCGGTCATATCCAACCCAGATACAGGATCATGATTTTGTTGTTTTGTGGAAGTAGGAGGGTGGGTGAACAGGACATCCTAAGATAAACCATGTTTTTCTAAGAATGTTTTGCAATCACATCAATGCACCATTGAACATCTGTTAGAAGCCGAGGGTTCTCTGTTCCTGGCTATCATTTTACAGCATTACACTTTTAAGATAAATTACATGGAATAGCCTTTAGGGGTACCCTAGTCTCAGACAAACCCATCTACAGAAATAGTTCGAGAGCCATTCTTGAGACATGGGTCTGCCAGCTGAAATCTATAGAAAACGCTGAGTTCGTTACTTTACCCGAGTGTAGCTTAAAAATGTGTGTGTGTGTGTCTGAAAATCAGATAAAAACCCAAAAATGGGCCAGAAAACGGTCACATGTCATGAAAGGAACTTGAGGTTTTTTTGCGGCGGCACCTGCTGGGCATCAGGAAATCGTACCATGGGATCCATATGAAATCGTTTTTTTCTTCGAAATCTCAACAGTGGTTACCCTCTGGTAATTTAACATAGCTATTGAAAATGGCCGTTTATAGTGGATTTGCCCATTGAAAATGGTGATTGTCCATTTTCTATAGTGGTTTGGTTGGTGCTTTGGAACCATGGAATTTTATGACTTTCCATATATATTAGGAAAATGTCATCATCCCAACTGACGAAGTCATATTTTTCAGAGGGGTAGGTCAACCACCAACCAGGGAAATAGTGAAAATGAAAAGGTCTTTTCAAGATTTATATCCGCTTAAATCCCAGGTCCAGTGTTGAGCATGTCAGTTTGAAAAACTCATTGTGGTCGGTTATATCCCATTACAGATACTCCAAGGGGAAAAAGTTTCTGGTTGAAGGGCGTTTCAAATAATAAGTTTGTCGATGCCCGTCACCAGCATTAGTGGGAAATTCATGGAATATGATGCCAATGGTGCCAATGACTTTTAATGTGGTTGGGGACTTGATATCTTTCTGGGTAAATTATAACGACCTCACTGCGACCGAGCCCTGGAATCATGGTTAATAAGGGAAATCATCCCCAAATGGCCTTAATTCAGGTGGGTGGGCAGGGACCGCAAGAAGTTGGTGGCCTTAATTCAGGTGAGTGCAATATTTTAATTTACCCAGATCTTTCCTACTATGATGATCGCTATTGATTCATACGTTGCCCCACACCTCATCCCGTTGATTGGTTGGATGACCATCCCTCTTTAACTGGTTTTGCAAAAATAGGACACCCCAAAATCCCATCGTTGATCATGATTTTCTGCATTAAATGGGGCTTAAAATAGGGTACACGCTGTTTTGTCAACTGAAACCCTTAAATAATGTTATTGCTTCTACATGCCATTACATCCAATCAGATCCCCATATTAGATGAGTATATCTAGGCATTTTTGCATTAATCTCTTAACTGTTCTTGGTTTCGTCCTCATTTCCGTTGCGAAATCGGTGACCTGAGGAACGTGCACCTGGAGAACATGCGCTTTGCCACCCATCCCCGAAAGAAGGCGGCTTGTCGCGGCTCGCGAGAGATGACGGTGGTGCCAAATTAATTGGGGAAGTAAACCATGAAGCCAGCTAGCTACTATATATCTATATATATATATACTGATTGCTGGTTTCAAACATGTTTTATTTTCCATAATATATGGGATAATCCTTCCCATTGACTAATATTTTTCAGAGGGGTTGAAACCACCAACCAGTATAATATATATATACATACAACTATGTACACATCCCCGATAGTATGTGTATATGTGTATATATATAGTTACCAGTTATGTAATGCAATACTATATGAATCGGTTATGTAATTTTATGTACATAATTGATATGTACTCAGCATCAATGAAGCATAGTGGGGATATAACCATAGTTGGGGATACAAACTATATACCCAGCTAAACAACCAGCTAAACAACAGGTTCCCCGGTATATGAGATTGGGCATGCTTGTGGGCTAACAAAACATTGCGCCCGAGTTCGTTAGGAACACCATGCGCTCGGCCCTCTATTAACCTCTGCGGTTTCAGCATCTGTTTTTGTTGGTAAAACCATCCACTTGTATACCCTCCGATCTCCTCAAACATGGCAATGGAAATCCCAAAAATCTATAGATGATTTTCCCAGCAAAAATCTCGCCTCCATTTATAGATTCCCAGCTTGCCATGTTTGACACTGGAGGGTAGTTCCGGTTGACATTTTCAGCTCTCGAGGAGTCGGGCTCTTGCTATTGCGACCAGTTGAAGCTAATGGACCTGGGATTGAGTTCCTCGAGATGGGGCAGAACGGTGATAGATCCAGACTTTTATGGGGACATGATGGATTATCATGGGCTATACCCTCTGGTAAACTAACATAACTATGGAAAATCAGCATTTTTAGTAGGTAAATCAACTACAAATGGCAATTTGAATAGCTAGTTAGTTTACGAGAGGGTAATAGGATGGGAGATGATGTGATATAATGGATAGAATGGGATAGAATGGGATGCATGATCAACAATAAGATCTTTGGGTTTGCCCAAAATTTGGCGATCAGCGCAGAATGGCAATGTTCATTGGACAAATCATGACAAACAATTTTATTCAGGGGTGGCCTATTTTCAGACAAAGCTACAACGGAAAGCCTCCCCTTGCAACCAGCTGGGGGGGTGGACGATTGTTTCTAATGGATGAATGTTTGATATCCAGAAAATGTCCGATCGTTCCAGCTATTCCAGAAGCAGAAGATGTTCTTCTCACGACCCCAAGGAGACGGTCCCAGCGATTTCAATAATATCATACACAAAAAAATGACGCTTGCCGAGGTGGGCTTCATGACTGTTCCTCTCCTGGCTACCTACTACCCTTGTTTCATGAAGCTGTGACGAATCCAGATGAATCCCACTTTTTGGTTCAATTCCATCACTCCATCCATGGTTCCAGCCTCAAAAGTGCAGCACAGGATCCCTGAATTTTCAGCGATGGAGAATGGATGGTTATGGCTGATAATTATGATGAATGGTTTTAATATAATTCTATAATCTAGAGACGGATTATGGATGATGAATTATGGATGATGAATTATGGATGACGCCCCACTTTTTTTCAGTTTTTCTCCAAAAAACATCACCTATCCTCCTGAGGTCTGAATCGAAAGCTGATCCCGGGCATCCTCAACGTCACTTGTTTCAGCAAAATAAGCGTTGCAGTCTGTGGCCTTTTCGACCAGCGAAAATGGGATGATTCCACAAAAACTTGGTGATGATTTCGCAGCGAAGCTGGAATTACACAGCAAACATGGTGGACGTTGACAATTTGACCAACCTCTATGGCAGGACCACCTAACTTGTTGAGACGGAGCTTCGGATCACCCTCCAGTACCCGCTGAGGAAAAAACATCCCGATGAATGGGCATTTGAATGGGAAGAGCCAGAAAACCATGTTTGATGACTAGAGGTTATTTTGCAAAAGTGTTGATTCTTCACCATCAAAGATATTAAAGGATCATTTTTTTCTTTGCTGATTTGTTGCTGTGGCAAATCGGTAAAAAGATCCCGAAACCACTTAGAAACTTGACCCTACGACCCAATCATGTCACCGCGTTGTGGATTGGTCGTAAAATGTCACCGAGTTCCTGTTGGTATCCAAGAACTATGATTCCCCCAAAAAAGACATCCCAGCAAGATCTCCTTTTTTCTTGCTTAGACCCCATTTCTTAATCACGATCACAAAGCTTTTTGTTGGTGGTCGGCTGGTCAAGTTCACATGCTTGGTTGAATCCCAGTATGGTGAAAAATCATCCTGAAATCCCATGGTTTTTTTCTATGAACGATTTTTGATGCTTGGAATCCTGTTGAATCCCAGCTTTTCCCAGGCTGCCTCCCAACCGGCCACCGAAAATTCCGCCACGCTGCCGCTACTGGCACCACTGGGAATCCAAAACTCCCTAGGCACGGCGTGGGGATTGGAAATTGGAAATGGATGTTTCCCAAGTCATAGGAGTACCCCTAAATTTCTAAATCATCCATTTATAGATGGATTTTCCATGAAATAAACCATCCAGCTATTGGGGTATCCCCATGACTATGGAAACCCCCATGTTTGGTGGATACCATGCCAACATGATGGGATACTAATCATCTATAAATCTAGGATTTGATATGATTTAAGGGGTTTAATGCCATATGGGTTGATAAGAAATGGTGGATATAATGAGGGATTTCTAAGGGTTTTAATGGTTTTCCCATGACAATATGATGGATAATGGCAGGATTCTTAATGTATCAAAAATATGGAGGAATTAATGCGCGTAATGATGGATAATCATACTATATTAATAGGATAGTAATGGAGATTTGAAATGATTTGCCCTGCATAAAGGATGTCCTATTGCCATGTTTGAATACTGGAGTGTATATGGATTTATGATGGATTTCTATTGATGTGTCCCGATGAAGATGGATGACCAAGTTCTCCACATGGATAGTGTATATTATTATATATATATACATACATATATATATATATATATATATAATTATATATATATTATGATATATATATATTATGATATATATATATATTATGATATGTATATATATAGACATAATTATATATATATTATGATATATATATATAGTATGATATGTATATATATAGTATGATATATATATAATATATATATATATCATAATATAGACTATTGTTATTATTATCAGTTTTGTTTTCTATTATGATACTTGGTTCACCCCAGTAATTAAAAGTATGTTATCTGTGCAGCTCTAACGAAAATTAACCCTACTTACCCTACTTATAACTGGTGTTACCCACTCACCAGGTGGGGAGAACCATACAACACTGGCCAGGTTCGGTGTGTTTGCCACCCGAGTGCCAAGGGGTGACTTGGTGAAAAAATGCAACTGGTGTCATCATAGCTGGGAAGTCACCGGTAAATATGTTTATTCATAGGAAAATCAACTATCAATGGGGGATTCTCAAGCAAGCCGTGTTTGACTACCGGGTATCCACTGGTCTCCTTGAGCAGCAAAATGACATTGGTGTTGAAGCCACAATAGCCTCAGGTACTGTTTCAGATTGGGGAACATCCCAACTTTGAATGGAAAGATATGGGATGTTCATTGAACTAATGGTGATGTTCAATAGCCAGATTCAATTACTGGAGGTAATAGTAATATCAGGCAGCATGGCGGACCTTGCCAGCCAACGTGGGTCGTTGGTTTTTGTTCCTTTGGGGATGGACGGGGTGATACGGATGATCGTAACGCTTGATACGGATTCTGCACGGGAAAAACATGCCCAGTAGCCACCAAAAAGGCTCAAAAAGGTTCGAAGAAATTGTCATTAGATTGCTTGAAGTCACATTAAAGCAATCAAAGCCATCCTTCTCAATAGTTCTCCCTCCAACTCATGGCAATATTAGAGAACGGCCCACGAAAATTGACCAAGGTTGTCATGCAGTCCGTCCCATCTTAAGATGTCAAAAATTCGGATGATATTCCAATTTGGGGCGTTCCCATTTGATCCCATTTGATCCAGCAAAGTTGCCAATTGGTTGATCTCTCACCATGTTTTGCCACTAAACTCACCGGTTCTAAAGTGGTACCAGAGACACCCCATATTTTTGTTGCCGTTGAATTATCAAAAAGCATACCCATAGGGGGGAATCATATGGAGGATTGAAGACATTAAACCTCCTTGATATCTCCTTGATATCTGAAATGAGACATATCAATCAGCATCACGACGGAGAAGAGTGTGACCTGGAAGATCTCCACAGTCGCGGAAGCTGCAGAAGCGATAAATCGGGGGTTTCCGAAAAATGATCGACATTTTAGCTGTGGATTTTCCACAGCTAAGGTTTGCAGGAGGGAAACTTCCAAATTTCTGCCAATCTTGCCATTTCATGATATTTCATGGGGAATATGATGATGTGTCCTAGATTTCTCCAGAGATACCATAGATTTCTATAGATTTCCACCCCATATCTGGTTGTTGGTGGTGACTGGAACCATGGAATTTTCTGACTTTCCATATATTGGGAATAGTAACCCCAACTGACGAACTCCATCATTTTTCGGAGGGGTAGCTATACCACCAACCAGATATAGATTTCTCCATCCCTCGGGGATTTCCCAGGTCTGTAGCTCCTACGCCCAGCTTGCGACGGCCGCGCCCTGCATGCTGCGCCGGACCGATTCCACACAGCTTCACAGGTGGGTCAGGGACGGCACGGAACTGTGGAATTGAATGTTAATGGGATATACCCTCTGGTAATTTAACATAGCTATTGAAAATGACCCGTTTATAGTTGTTTTACCTATCAAAGATGGTGATCTTCCATAGTTATGTTAGTTTACCAGAGGGTAAGTGGGATTCATGGCCTTTTCGTCGGTTAGCCAATGAAAAATGGTGGTTTAACCATTTAACCAGATATCATGGGGATATAATAGCCATGAATAACCGATATTACTCTCTGGTTATTTAACATAGCCATGGTATTGATGGCCCATGAAATGAATGGCTTACGTATTAATAGCATGGTGATTTTCCATGGCTATGTTAAATAACCAGATTGTGATGGGATATAAGTGGGATTCATGGCCTATATAGCCTATATAGTTGAAAATTAGCTTTTTTGCCAGTTATCTAAGATTCACAATGTCAATTTTAATGGGATATAAATATAGCCTATATAGTTGAAAATTAGCTTGTTTCGCCAACTATCTAAGATTTACCATGTTGAAATTTAATGGGATATTGATGGAATATTAATGGGATATTGATCAGATATGAATAGGAATTAATTGTAGCCATTATAGTCATTGTATAATTAGTTATTCAATCGTTAGTTGGTAGTTTATAATGGAAATTTAACCATGCGCCACGTCGTTCGAATGTCTGGCTACGAGACACCGTGGGCTGACCTCAAAGACTCCGACCTCACTGCAGAGGAGATCGAGGCATACAGGAATGCAAGGAGCCATACATCGGTCACAACCGCCATCAGTGAGGCTCTCCAGGATGGAGGGGTGCTCATGAAAAATGTGGGCTTGCCAAGCCTCAGCAACGTCCTCACAAGGGACAACTTTGGCAAAGCAATCAGGCACCGTGGGTCTAGCGCCCGCTAGAAGTAGGGCGGATGCAGGCCCTGCCCACTGAGCACTGGTGGCTAGACACTGTCAGGCAACAACGCATGACATCACACGTAGCAGCGGTGCCAGTCGCGAGGTACTGACTTGGCGTTTTTTTTTGTGATGTTGGTAATTACTGTAGTGGAATTCACCAACCACAATAAGGATGACGCCCAGTGTATCGTGGATAATTTTATAGTGATCTACTGGGAGATTTTGATGGGAAATGATGGGGCTTCACCGGCAGCTAGCCAGCAACTAATGCTACAACATTGGATAAAAATCTGGTTCGTGGTTTGGAACATTCTTTATTTTGCCATATATTGGGAATAATACTCCCAACTGACTAATATTTTCCAGAGGGATTGAAACCACCAACCAGAAATGGTTTATAACCAACAAACAAACTGGGACATAGGATGATGCAGGCTACAATCATACCATAGGTGCGGGAGTGAATTGGTAAAATTGGGAACTTGATCTCTATAAAACCAATACGAAACCTCCCACGAAAAGTCCTTAGCACAGCCGCGGGATTAAAAAGTTAAGCTTGTTGAGCTCCAGGACCGTGGCTCCCATGTATCTTTACCAAGAATCCACGAAATCAGCTCTACGAGGTCTCCTTCCCCGACGTTGCAACGTAAGACCTCCGAGGCCAGTGGGCGAGTTGGGTAGCTGCAACCGGTGATGGATATGTTAACCAACACACTTTGGATAGAGCTGACATGACTGGTGAATTGGGTAGTCTCAAACAACTCAGAAATCCGCATCTTTGTACATATGGTGTCTTTTTGCCTTAATCAACTGAATTTGAATTTGAATCGTTTGCAAGATATCAAAGATTGGCCATGCTCAAACTGGAGGTTTACCCTCTGGTAGTTTAACATTGCAACAGAAAGACACCCTTTTTTATGATGAATTGATCTTTAAATATAGCTACGTATAACTGTGGCATTTGTGGCAAATAAACTACATCCAACAACTGCCGTTAGTATTGTATGATCCTGCCCAAGATTTCCCAAATCTGTGGTCTTGACAATAAACCCCATATGTTGGGATATAACCCCTGCAACTCATGTTGGTTATATCAGCACTTCCAAACTGTCACCTCAAGCATAGATAACTCTTGCACTGCACCAAACATGTCTTCACTGGGATTTGTCAAGAATTATCCAGATACCCGTTGTGCATCAAGGAATACAATTACCCGTGGTATCCCCGGATGTATTGAACCAAAAAAACGGCTGAAGAGCTTCATTCTTGGATTATAAAACCGACTGGTGGAGAGTAATTTAGCCGCTCTATGTTCTTGGGAACGCTTCAAGCTTGAATTTTAGATTGACGCCAGAAACAGAGTTTGCATCTAGCCGGTCCAACAAAGATTTGCCAATGGTTCTACTTCAATTTGCTAGCAAAAGCAAGTGAAAAAACCGTATTCTCTCCAATAATGAGGCTTGTCAAATAGCTTATCGTTTTTTGGGCCCTTGAAACTTGCATCCAAGACTATCTGGGTTCTGTGAATCCGTCCACACGACTGACCTACCCTACTGACCTCACTATCATGACTAGTGACGTTTCTTCAAGATGATTTCTGGGGTGAAAAGGTTTTTTGGGGTGGCTGTGGTGGCATTGGGAAAGTTTCCGTGTCGCCATCCCTTCTCATGTTGGTTTAATCATATTGCCCTGCATCAGGACTTACACATTAGCACATCAAGTCCCAACGAGGCAAATCAGCCATTTTGGCAGACCAGGGTATTTTAACCCCCATAAGTTGGCATATGGGGCGCCTATGGTCGTATGGGAACTTCAATATCTCCACCACTGGAACTTGCAATGGTGACCTCACTGTGTCAATGTTGGGAAGAGAAAGGTTATCCCAATATCGCCTTATCCCTAGGTCAGTAATATACCCTCTGGTAATTTCACAGTTGGCTATTGAAAATTGCCATTTATGGTTGACTTCCCCTGTAAAAATGATGATTTTCTACAGCTATATTAGCTTACCAGAGAGTAACTTTAACAATTATGTACAGCTACCAACTATAGAATCCCTAAATCTAAATATGCTTAATCACTTGCCCAGATATGATTCATTCACCAACCCTAGATATAATATGTTCTCCCAATATCATCAACTATTGAATGCATATATCCTCAGATATGTTTGACCCAGATCATATGTTATTTTTGGCATCTCATTACATCGCTATGTTCCCAATATTCTGGTGACATTCCCATGATAATTTACCCATATATTACCATCTATTAGATTATAGATCCATTCAATTCCCATTTGATTTTCCAATATTTACCAAGAATATGGAGACGATACCACCATTTACCCTTTCATATATTACTACCACCTATATATGGAATATATTGCCATTATAAATTACCAATATAATAACAGATACCTATATAACCAATATCTTACCAATATATTGCCAATATGTTGCCATTTACCCATATATTACCAATATATTGCCATTATAAATTACCAAAATATTAGATGGATTTTCCTAGCTATAAAAATGGAAATTCATTTCCTAGCTATAAACATAGACCCTGAAAATCACCAATTTTTAATGGAAACTAGTCTTCCAACCCCGATGACTGCCAGGGTCTTTGTTAATTTACCAGAGGGTACCCATTAGATCCCATTAAATCCTATTAAATCCCATTAAGTTCCAGTAAACCACCATTTTCCTATGGTTTTCCTATGGCATAACCAGATCCATTCGCATCCCAGGACTTTGGACAGACCTCCTCCATCTCATCGGTGGGACAGGATTCCTCCTCGCGACGGGCCAAGGACGGGAGACCCCTGTGGCATTAAGATCCCGGCATTATCCTTCCATAAGAACTATTCTGGTTGGTGGTTAATGGTGGTTAATGACCATTAATGGTGGTTAATAATGGTTAATAATGGTTAATTATCCACTGGTTGGTGGTTTCAACCAACCCCTCTGAAAAATGATGGAGTTCGTCAGTTGGGAAGGATTATCCGATTATCCCATATATTATGGAAAATAAACCACCAACCAGTCCATCATGTTGTCATGGTAAAACCATTAAAACCCTTAGAAATTCCCCATTATATCCACCATTTCTTATCAACCCATATGGCATTAAACCCATTAAATCCATCATCAAATCCTAGATTTATAGATGATTAGTATCCCCATCCATCATGTTGTCATGGTATCCACCAAACATGGGGGTTTCCATAGTCATGGGGGTACCCCAATAGCTGGTTGGTTTATAGTGGAAAAAAAAGGACTAGAAATTGATGATAACCTGGGGTACCCCCATTGCAGGAAATCTCCATATGATTGATCAGCAACCCCCAAACTGATTTATAGAAAATGTTGTAAACTGTTGGACAATGTCTTGGACGACGATATGGAGGAAACATTGTCTTTTTTCATCTGGAAACACGTGTCTCTATCGTTTTTGGGGGTTCTTATATCATGATATGAGATGTTAAAATGGAATATGCCTATGGGAAATGGCATATATTTGTGGTAAATTTACAATAAATTGTTCGATAGTTTGTGGATACCCTCCGGTGTCATCAAACATGGCCCAGGATTAATAGACCGGTTGTGTACTCATTGGTGGGTACCATTTATCAAGGGAGATATCCCTATATTGGGACCCCCCATATTATTAATTCATGAGAAAATAAATGGAGAATTATTGATTAATTGAAAATTGGAAGGCTTCAGCAACATACATGGTCATGGGTAGTTGTCCTCCGGCTCAGTTTTCCATAGAATTGGAAAACAACCATGGTTTCTTCGGAAATGATCATATAATATAATAATGATATGTAATATTATCAAGTTATATTATGACTATACATATTATCAAGTTTCCAACCATATTCCAACCATGGTCAACCAAGTTCGGGTTCATGATCTTTACGGATGCTGCAGGAGCTGCTTCTTCTGTTGCAAGCAGGGGATGTTACTGGGCCTTGATGGCGTTCTGCGTTTTGCTTTTTTTTGCTGGGTAAAACAGAACGGGTTACAAAGATGGGATGTTTATGGATGAATTCTATGGTTTATGGTAGATGTAACGAACTCGTTAATGGGGATGAATTCATGGTTTTTCTCAACCAACAAACACTGGTTGGTGACTGGAACCATGGAATTTGGATTGATTTTCCCATGATATTGGGAATAATCATCATCCCAACTGACTTTCATATTTTTCAGAGGGGTCGGTTGAAACCACCAACCAGTTATGGATGTTTCGTGTTTTCAAAAATTCACCCAAAATGTTCCAACTCGCTGTGGACTTTGGTGCCAATCGGCGTGACAACTGCAGGATTAGCCTCTGGTAATGGCTGTTACAGTTTGCTATTGAAAATGGCTCATTAACAGTTGATTTACCTATTCCAAATGGTGATTTTCCATAGCAAGCTGAACTGTGTATAACCCATGCGGATTTGTTTCAGATACGGTATCCCATGGTTTATCATCGTTTTACCCATGCCATGTAAGGGAGTAAGTCTTCCACTCCCGAACAAACCTCAAATGCTGAATGATAACCTTCCCAACAAAAACCCGCACATGTCCAGTTTGATGACTAAATCATCATAAATACCAGACGTTTTCCTTGCAAAATACCCAATGTGTATATTATAGTCCCTTTATGTTCCCAGTAAACCCATGGTATAATGGGACTATAATATACATCATAGTCCCATATATATATATACACCCAATGGGTATACATATTCCATGATATACCCCATGCCCTTGAAATCCCCATTCCGAGGTCTGGTCCGCAGGCTGCATTTTGCACATTTTGCTCTCCGGGCAGATCCCAGTGACGGTCGTTGACAGCGACAAGGGCGGCGATGTGGTGCCGTTTTGCATGTTACCGGGATGGATTGCGAGTCATGATCCAACGTCCCCTTTGCGGGGTCAACCGGCTGGTTAGATACGAACTAGCTAGCAGTGGTAAAATGTACTAACCAGCTACTAATTACCCTCTGGTAAACTGTTACATAACTATGGAAAATCACCTAATTTTTCATGGGAAAACTGACTATAAATGGCCATTTTCAATAGCTATGTTAGTTTACCAGGCCAGGTAGATTTTTTGGCAGGCTAAGATTCACCATCTTTGGACAGTAGCTTCACTGGTGGTAACGTTGCATTCTGTGGTGCCATGGGGTTGGGGTGGGGTGGGGTTGTAACGTTAATAAAAAAACAACATGCACTATATGTTAATATGTATTTATTATATTATAATTAATATATACATAATATACATCATATATATATCATATTACTGTACATATTTCATAATTAACCATGTGGCCTTGGAAACCACCAGTGGACGCAGTTCCTCTGTCAATGATCAAGGCTAAAGTCCAGGAACTTCTGGAGTGATTTTCAAGTCATAGGGCTATTGGTCAAAAGCAGGCACTGGTCAAAAACTATGTTTTAATACACCTGCTTTAAATAAATCATGTTATAAAAACTGGTGTTTAAATGATTGACTATATATACACGATTTGTTTCATACTGTATAAATATAGACATACTGTATGGTCGACCCACAAACACTGTGTCCTATTTGTTTGATGAAGCCCTTGATTTTTGATGCGTCAATACTGTTTGACCTATAGCTCTTATGGATTTGTGGCCTCTCTGGGGTGAAGTCGTGTGTCCAAAGCAAGCCAGTGACCAAGTTTCGTCCCATTTAACTGTAAGGTCTTATAAAGTGTTAAAGTATGTATATAACTATATATAAAGTTGTATACAGATGACTTTATATCTATATAGGTTTCTCTATATCCAGTTATCTAGCTATCTAGCCATCTATCTTATCTTGATCTTGATCTTATGTTTTTTTGTGTATAGTTTTTTCTTAATGTTTATCTTTATCTTATCCTATCTGATCTGACAATATCTATCTATCTCTCTATTCTATCTGTATATATATATATTTACATATACATGTGTATATAAATGTATATATATATACGTATAAACGTGTGTACTGTTATATACTTCCCCCGCGTCATCCCCAGCCACCCCCAGTTTCCCGATCGCCCGTCGCGCCAGCCCAAGCTGCCGCTGCTGCTGGGCGTCTCGGCGGGTGCCATCGACACCTGCGCCATGCTGCTGCATGGTATGCCACGACGACGCGCCACAGCAGTGCCTTGGTGTGACATTTTTGGATATCATGGGATGATGAAGATAATAATGACGACAGTGCCAATAATAAAATAAGCTTCGGTGGTATTCCCAACAGTCGCAACGTTTCATTTTTACAATTTTTTCTCAACCTTCTCCGGATCCAGTTGAACCTGACTTGGCTTTGCACCAAACCCTCCCAGACCTTCTCCGGAACCTTCTCTTCAACCTTCTCCGGAACCCTGTTGAACCCGACCTGGCTCTGCACCAAACCCTCCCGGAACCTTCTCCGGAACCTTCTCTTCAACCTTCTCCGGAACCCTGTTGAACCCGACCTGGCTCTGCACCAAACCCTCCCGGAACCTTCTCCGGAACCTTCTCCATAACCCTGTTGAACCTGACCTGGCTCAGCACCAAACCCTCCCGGAACCTTCTCCGGAACCTTCTCCGGAACCCTGTTGAACCTGACCTGGCTCTGAACCAAAGCCTCCCACACCTTCTCCGGAACCTTCTTCGGAACCCTTTTGAACCTGACCTGGCTTTGCACCAAAGTCTCCCAGACCTTCTCCGGAACCTTCTCTGGAACGCTGTTGAACCTGGCCAGGCTCTACACCAAAGCCTCCCAGACCTCCTCCGGAACCTTCTCCGGAACCCTGTTGAACCTGACCTGGCTCTGCACCAAAGCCTCCCCTCCGGAACTGTCTCCGGAACCTTCTCCGGAACCCTGTTGAACCTGACCTGTCTCACCAAACCCTCCCGTAACCTTCTCCGGAACCTTTTCTGGAACCTTCTCCAGAACCCTGTTGAACCTGACTTGGCTTTGCACCAACGCTTCTGGAACCTTCTCCGGAACCCTGTTGAACATGACCTGGCTCTGCACCAAAGCCTCCCGGATTCTTCTCCGGAACCTTTGCGGAACCCTGTTGAACCTGATCCGGAACCTTTTCGGAACCTCGTTGAACCCGACCCGGTGCCCGCACCAGTGCACACCGGAGCTATTCTGCGCTAAAGACCCCATTAGCTTACGCTGTTGGGGAATAATGACAATAATTGTGATGATGATGATGATGATGATGGTGATGATGGTGATGGTGGTGATGTTGATATTGGAGATCTAGTGCGAATATAACAGAGATACAATGTGGTTTTGAACTGCCAAAAAGCGGAGTTGAGTGGGATGGATTCCACTCAGCAGCGATGAGGCTTCGAACATCTAACGCCGTCAGAGACAAGGTCTAGCGGCATTACTTGAGCAAACCCAAGATGAAGACCTACGTTCTCACTGAAGCTGATCAAGCCACAGGGTGTGGTCAAGTTCATGTGCAGCTGACTCAAGACCCCTATCTCTGTCTTCACAAGGTTGCAGGGGGGTCAACAGAGATCATAGAGTACGTCGCACAGCCTGTGACACATGGCGTCAACAAACGCTTCAACATTCGCATGAAACAGCAAAAATCCTCATGGCTAGCACGAAATAATTCTTCTCCGAGTTGCCCAAAAGAGTAGGGATTTCACCAATGAAAAGAGTCAAAGGTGGATTTGATAATGAACGCAAATGATCATGTGTGACCTCTGAAAATTATGATATCATCAAGAAACCAACAGAAAAATCGGGGATGTACCTTCCGGCAATCAAACATAGCAGTAGATTCTATGGATGATGTTCCTATTTAAACCTCCTCCATGTTTAATAAGATGTCTCATGTATTCCCATATTTTCCTATGCGTTTTCCCATTAAGACTTCCATTTATAGGGATTTTCATATTTTTCCATGATCTTCCCATCAAAGTCTCCATGTTTAATGGGGATGTCCCAGCTAGCCATCGATTTCCAAAGGCTTAACACATTGGTTGACCGTCCTGGTCATAGTGTCCTCAGTGTAGATGATTGCTGTAGTAGGGGGTTCATCCTCTGTTCACCCCATAATGACATCATGGGTTTATGTGTATGCATGTAATGTAACGTAACGTAATGTAACATCACGTAATGTAACGTAACGTAATGTAACGTAACGTAATGTAATGTATTTATGCATATATATATATGTGATATGTGTATGTATACATATATACATATATATGTATACATATATATATATACATATTTATGTATACATATATACATGTAGATGGTTATGTCTGAAAATGGTGTATACCAGAAAATATTTAAAAAAAATGTGTTGTTCAATTGGAAAATTGTAATAAACCATTGGATTTTGAGGTATCGTATTTTCAGACAAACCCATATTTCTGCTTGAGAGTGATATATACTAATTCCCATCGAAACAATTGTTGATCACGCAAAAAATCGAATCAGAAATATCAATGAAATTCTGATAACCCAATCCCCATGTATGATTACTCCATAAATTGAATCAGAAATAGAAACCAAGTGATGTTCTTGACTTTGAAGCATGAGCCTTAGGAGTCAGCGCTGGAGAACAACTGGTTCTCTCAGTGCGAACATATCCAGAAGGCGCACAGGTGCGCAATTTACAGGCAGTTAATTATGGGTGTAATGTCAGTAAAGCAACAATAAACCACCCATATTTTGATGGTTTATACCACGTACAAAACTGGGGATGGTTTACTGTTGTTTTACATTATCTAAAAACATTTAAAACATCTTAAAACGGAGTATACCCATGAAGTAGCAGTTTTAATGAGAAATGTGGTGATTTTCCTTAAAATGTGGTGGTAATTACCCAAATTCAACGAACCAAACTAAACAATACATAATACACAACAATACATGCTAGGCATAGAGCTGGTTCAGCATGGCCAGAACGGGCCGAACGGAAGATGGTGTATTGATTGTTAAAAGACCATGACTTAGCATTGAAACCCATGGTGACTTGGGAGTTCCCTGTTTTAAGAAGCTTGGTATTTCCCGAGTTTAGGAAATTTAATCACTTAGATTTCAAACTTGTTATCATCACTGTGTTTGATGATGCGCCTTGATGGCACATCGTTGTCTTGGGCGACATTGGATCCCAATTTCGTCCAAGATATCCACCAATTTGAGTGATTTTTTGTGTGAAAATCGATGTAGTTGGCCAATTCCATCCTTGGAATTTAAGTTTAAAATGGTGTGTCAAGAAGTTTTCAAGACTTGGACACAGTTTTCGGATCTTTTCCGACAGAAATCACGACTCAAAAAAAAGACCCCGACCGTTTTCGTCGCAGGTCGCAAAAGAGAAATCTGCCCCTTGGCCTGGGATGATGTTTGGGTGCCGTTAGTATGATTGGACCTACTTTCAGCAGTGGTTCCCATAAAGCCTTGGGGTTCACCGTTGGGTTAATCATTTAATCAATCTAAAGGAGGCATGTTTGTTTTTACATGGATGACTCCGAATGGAATGCTGTTCCATGTGTCTTGTGGCGCTTTGATTTCTTCAACGTGCTTGGGGTATTGGAGTCAGCCAGCCACCATCAACCAGGTCACAATCTCACCATGGCATTTTTTTTTGAGAGCCAAGTGCTACCAGCAGTTGATCCATAAGAAGAACATGTTCCCAAGATTTCCCAAGTGCAATCGACAATCCACTATTTGTAGATGAGTTTTCCATTGCTTATGCAACATTTTTTTTGATGTCCACAATGTTTCTCAGTGGGTTACATCATTTGTAACCAAAATTCACCACCTCGTTCCAGTGGTGGATCGTTTTTTTCGAGCCGATTGTGGTGTACTGAAGCTTCACGCTTGGACCACTGGTCGGCCATGAAGTACCGGATCCATGGATCGGAATTTTCCTTCAACCAATTCTGGGACGATTTTTTGAGTGTTCCCAAGTT